GGCCCCATCTCAGGGGGTGCACGGCAGATCACAGAGATGCGTCGGCCCCGGGGAATCCGGCGTTCACCGAAAAAAGAGTCTTCATCCCGGAGGATCTCGTGGGAGAAGTCATACCGGGCGGAGCCCCTTAGGATGTAGAGGGAACCGGGCTCCAGCAAGAGTTCCAACCACTCTGCGGGGTCCTGGGTATGCAACAGCCTCATGACACTTGGGGACAGCAGGGACAGGCCAGCGATGGTGGCTCCACAGAACTTGACGCTGTCGACGTGCGGCTTGATGTAGCCCCTCGGTTCCAGGTCCAGCACGTGCACCCCGGGCAGCAGGGCCTGGCCTGGGCCGAAGGCGGCCTCCTGCACCCGCCGCAGGATGGTCCTGCTCGCCTCCGACCAGCGCGTCTTCTCCGTCTCCGGGAAGCCGTGGATGGCCGAAGTCCACGTTGACCCCAGCTCCACTGACCATCCCTTAACTCACTCCTCCTCCCAGATCCTGCCCCTAGTCTAGTCCGGGATGCGGCCCCAACCTCAGCATCAGGTCACACCACGGACCCCCCGCAGGCCGTGACTGCCCATCCGCCCACCCCAGGTCCTAGACATGCAGGGAGAGGTTATGCTTTGAGATTCTGGAAGCTCCACTCTGAACGCCCTTGATCTTCTTAGTCACAAATGCTAATACTGTTTCTCAGTTGGTGGGAGCTAGTTTGCTTTTCTATCTCTTACAACTGAAAATTCCTGACAAATATGCCAAGTTAGCTTCATGTCCAGCTAATGTTTACCTGCCCAGGTGTGTTTATCGATTGGCTTATGAATCCAGTCCCTTCTCTCCCTTGTCCCCCTCATGTTCTGAGAAATGTCTGCTGTGCACACCCACACAGTGACAGCTTTTGTCTCTCTGCTCACTGTTTCTTTAACACAGAACATCCTAGTCTAAGGCATTGTCACAAACCAAACTTAGCCGGTCAGCTCCTTTCCTAAGAGTTTGAAATGGGATCTATCAGATTCCAACCATAGCCATTGGTCTACAGCTGGGGCAGATCTGGGAGATTTCAGCTGAAGTTGATTAGAGCTGACTTCAGAGGTGGATTTAAAATAGAAATATCTCTGTAATTCTGGGAGGCATCCTAATGGTACATGGTAAAATCACCCAGCCACTAACTAAAAAATTTGCTGGTTTGAACCCACCAGACACCCTGCAGGAGAAAGACGTGGCAGTGTTCTTCAGTAATGATTACAGTCTGGAAACGTTACAGTTGTGGTGTCTTTGGTAGATAAGGGTAGGAGCTGACTAGGCAGTAGTCAGTTTGGTTTTTTTATTTATAAACCCATATGAAAATCCACATTGGTGATTAACAGTCAGAGTCTCAGGGGTTCTACCTGACTCTATGGGACCACTAAGCCTTTCCTTTCGTGCTTTTGAGTTTTGTTCCATTATCCCCCGCTCTATCACTCACCCACATGGCTCAACTTTCCACCAAAAAACAGGCCTCTAAGGTGACCGAAGGATGGGCATTCTCCTCCTGTGAGATTAACTGCCTCTGAAAACCCACCAGAGGGTCGGGTAGGATCTGACTCACCGGTACACAACAACAAGGTGACTAAAGCATCAAGAAGGGATTCTAAGCTTTGAAGTCATTAGAGGCCATCAAGTCAAGCACGACAGAGTGAACCTATGAACAACAGAAACCTTTCTCTGACCTCCAACACACTCTCAATCTCTGTCATGCAAAAACTGTATAAAGTCAAAAGAAGAACATTTGCCCAGTAAGAAAACCCTGAAGGCGGGAAGGAGCTAGCTAGAAGGATTAATGAAAGTGAAAATTAAAGAGGTCAAATCAAACATTCACATCGAGTGGGCTCCCACTCCCAGCGACCCTCCACCACGTTTCCCAGGCTCTAACCCTTAACAGGACTGCCCACCTTCTCCTGCAGGGCAAAGATGCAACACCTTTGGTTAGCCACAGCACACACCACAGACTATGTCCCCAGAGGAAGTGGAGAAAGATCCACTACAGATCATAATACATTGTACGTATTATGATTGATGCCATAAAGCAAAATGTAGATGGGTGGTTGGATCAAAAGCTAATTTGCATTGTAAAGTCGCACTAAAATCACAATTCTTTACAAGTCTGCTCTGGTCTTTCACAGGCACTTACGGAGTTGATTCTGAAAGGCTTTTCTGTGGTGTTTTCGGCAGAGAATTTGTGTTCCCACAGCCCTTTGAAGTAAAGCGCATTCACCAGAACCATCCTCGTTGTAGAGCCCACTGCGTCCTCGGATAGGAGGTTTGGGATTTTACCTACAAAAATAAAGAAAATAAAAAAAGATTCATCAGCGTTCGGCTGAGTTCTCCAGTTGGCACTGTGTGTGATTTGGGTGAAACTAGCACAGGCTGATGAGTGTCCTCACTGAGCCACAGCCGGAGGGCCATGATGGTTCTGTGTCCCCTCAATGGCAGTGATGATTTGGTCACTTGATTAACAGTGTTTGCCCGCTTTTTCTTCTGTGAAATTGTTAATTTATCTTTATAGTTAATGTGAATGTGAGGAGACACGTGTACTTCCAAGACATTGTGAGTTAAGTTCTGAACCATGAACAAAGCCAACAATGCAATAAAATGAGTCATACTAATTTGGAGGATTTTCCAGGAGGCGTTTGAATCATATATATACTATCCGGAGCCCACTGAACCGACAAGCAGAATGAACAGAGCTGTGCAGCAAAGGTGCGTGCTTGGCTCTCACGGTGAGAAAGCCATCCGCACAAGTAAGAGCCGAAACCAAATAACTGCTAATGCACAGCGTGTTTTTAATTCTGATTTGGATAAACACCTCTGTCATCCTATAAAGCTGTATGTGGAGGGAGATGGAGGTCACATTGGAAATTTTAGGACTGTAGATTGATCCCAGGTTGAGAGAAGTCCGTTAATGTAAGTTTAACAACATGATTCCCTAGATTTGCATGCTTTCAAGACATCTAAACCTCTTGAACTCAGAGCAGCATGAAGACAGTGGAAATAGAATTTGTTTTACAAAGCAAAATGTAAACGTAAACACAACATTGACGCAGAGTTTGACTAAAGTTTTACCATTGTCTGGAGAGCTAACAGTGCCACCTGCTGGCACGCTCATGAGCAGTTTTAGGTGATGGGATGACCTCCCCCAGATGTTTCGGATGACTCCTTCTGAGTGTGTGGAAGATTGGCCCAGGACAGAGCAGAGTTTAGAGCTGTTGTACATAGGGTCGCTATGAGTCGCAAGCGACCCGACGGCACATAACAACAACAACCTTCTCAGCAATGAGCTCCAGTGAGTGCAGATGAGGAGGATTGGCAAGTTACAGGTCGGCTCTTCATAGTGTCGCTGTGAGTCATTCTTGTCAGCACCTAACAACGACTTCTGGGTAGGGGTTAACGTGAACAAAACCAAAACTCAAACTCATTGCTGTCCAATTGGAACCGACCCATACTTAATCCTCCAGAGGGTTTTCAGAGGTTGTAAATGTAATAGTGGGAGCTGTGGTGACCTCGTGGCAAGAAGCTCGGCTGCAATCCTGAAGGCAATCAGTTTGAGGCCACCAACGGCTCTGTGGGAGAAGGGTGGGCAGTCTCCTCCCATGTGATTGTCTCTGAAAACCCACCAGAGGTTCAGCTATAGGTCGGTTCTGACTCTACAGTACACAACAACAACAAATGGCATGGAGCTACTGCTACTGCTGCTGTTGTTGCTGTTAGGGACAGTCCTACTCCATCTCATAATTTTCTCATAAGTTGGAAACAACTCCATCCACAGTGGGCTTTACTTGGCAAGAGATGACTTGATTTGTATCTTCAAAACTGGCCTTATTGGGAGATGTTCAAATCTAACATTTTGGCCATAAATAGAAATGTTTGATTCTATTTAATAGATATATTCAGACACAAAACAGGGATTTTTTTCAATATGGAATGTTTCATGAATCTGCATGTCATCCTTGCACAGGGGCCATGCTAGTCTTCTCGATATTTTCAATTTCAGCACACGTGCTGGTGACGCGAGCCCTGTGCCACACATTTGTAAGAAACAATGGTGGCAGGAAGCACCCTGAAGACCACCTTGGTGAAAGCTTACCTTCAGTCTGCTTTTCAACCCAAGAGTTGACTTCCTTTCTGACTTGGTCAGGGGTCTCCACAAAATTAACAGACTGTGGCTCTGCACCAAAGTAATTTTTCATGTCTTCTAGATATTTCTGAATGATGTAGGGAAAATATCACTCTTGTTAGAGTTTATCTAAAACTGAGAAATCAGATTGATTTAGAAAAAAAAGAAAGAATAGGGCCGCAAAGAACCCCCACCGCATCCCTCACTGGACTGTCCCCTCACTCTATGTCTGGGCCATGATCTGAACTTTTCACGATCTAGTCTAGTTACCAAGAGCCTCAAGCGTGGGGAGAATGCCTGTGTCTGTGTGTGATTCTGGCCCTTCTCATTCTTCTCGTTTCTATTTTGTATCATTCCCAGGAAACAGAACTAGAATGGAAGAGTGCAAATTCTGAGAAGGAATCGCGATGAACAAAAGGCTTTGGGAATTATTCATTATTTCTGTGGCAGAAGCAAACGCAAGTGAGACTCATGGGTCCTGCAACTGTGGTAAAAACCTCATGGAGAACTGAGGAGAGCTCTATGCTGACAGGAAAGTTATTTCTGAGCATGCTTAAAGGGTTTCCTGGACATTGTAATCAACCCACTTCGGAACCTGAGGAAACAGGTGAGACACACTTTCTGAGGCAAAAGTTAGACTTCTCCTTCCTGCCTTGCTTCATCCTGCAATGACAGCCACCACATGGAAGGCTGTAGCCAGAGTTGCTGGTGATGAGGGCACCTACTGTAGGGGCATAATTAATTCTACAGGCTGGTTATGGTACTCTATCAGTTTGCTGAATCACTGGGGGCAAGGGGACTTTTGTACTATTCAGTACAAAATTATGAATTGAGGAAATGGTATGTGGTTGTTGTTGTGGATTGCTTTCAGGTCGAGCACAACTCATACCAACCCATGAACAAAAGGCCTGAAGCCCCTCTACAACCATCAACATTTATCAACATTCAAGTTCTACGGAATTTACAATCTAGTATAAACAAAGATCCATAATGCATCACTCTTCTTCCTTATTGAGTTCTGATGAAACCCTAGTTGCACAGTGGTTAAAGACTTGACTACTAACTGAAAGGCTGAAGGTTTGAACGCACCCACAGCTCCACTGGAGAAGGGCATGGCAGTCAGCCCTCGGAAAGCTGACAGCCTGGGCCACCCTCTGGGGCAGTTATCTCTCCTACAGGGTAGCTGAGTTGGAATGGATTGGAGGGCAATGGGCTTGGCTAAGATTTTGGTTTGGATTTTTGTCAACTTCTTTAAGTACATCCAGGATTTGAATCCCTGTGTCCCTCTTATTCCAAGTACCCACCACACTCAAGCATCTCTGCTACTTCTGAATCAAGTAGAAGTCCATCAGATAATCAACAGTGAAAATTTATTAGAATTAATTTGATTGGTTTTATGCCATTAGTTTTCACAGGGCTTGGATAAAAGATTGACATTCTCGATGATTTCATCTTACTGGGATCCACACTCAACACCCTTGCCACCAGCAGTCAAGAGATCAAAAGATGTGTTGCAACAGGAAAGCCTGCTGTCGAGAACCTCCCCAAGTACTGAGGATCAAGGATTTAAGTTTAGAGCCAAAATGTTTCTGATTCAGGTCATTGTTTTTTTCAAACACTCGCTGTGTAGCTGAGAGCTGGGCAGTGAATAAGGATGACAGAAAAAGAATCTATGTCTTTGAGTTGTGGTGTTAGAGAAGATCACAGAAAACTCCATGGACTGCTGAGCTAACATACAGACACTTCCTGGAGGAAGTGAGTTCCCTTTGGAAGTAGAGATGGCAAAGCTCGATCTCACATACTTCAGGCATGTTGTTAGAAGGGGTTATTCCTTGGAAAGGGACATCATTCTTGGAAAGGTGGAGGGTTAGTGAAAGAGAAGAAGACCCTCAAAGAATAGATTGACACAGTGACAGAAACGATGAGCTCAAACATGCCAGATTATGAGGGTGGCACAAGATAGGACGGAGCTCAGATCTGTTGTTCATAGGGTCACTATGAATTGTTCTGGACTCAATGGCACATAATAACAACACCCCACTAATAATATCAAAGTCCAAATCCTGAACCCCCAGAATCCACTGGATATGAACACGGAGAACATTCCTTTCATCCCAATATATCTTTGACTTAACTGCACTACCTTTTTCTGGGTCTTGGTCCACTGAGTACCTGGGTTCTCCTGCTCTTCTAACATGGTGCCCAAGGTCCTAAGGGACAAGCATAAGTGAAGTAATGCTTGATACTCTGCACAGTGCTTGAGTTTCAACAGCAGGTAGAATCTGCATGAGTGCAAATTCAACCACTGGGGAACAGAAGAAGTTGATGGTATTTTATGGTAAGAGTTTTCCTAACAGCTCTAAAGCTATAATAGAAAGCACGACCATTTCTCTCACTCCAAGGTCAAGTTGGTCTTGACTGTAGTTTTCCACCTAGTGGCTGTGATCAGTGCCACTCTCTGTTTCTTCACACCAAGGCTATTATTTAGTTTTTGTTTGAAGATCTGATAATGCGGTGGATAAACATTCAAAAGCTAATCCAAATATTAGTAATTTTAATCCACCAATTGCTTCATGGGAGATAAAACATTTCCATAAAGGTTACAGCCTTGGGAACTTTATGGCAGTTGTACTCAATTCCCTGTCATCGCCATGAGCTGACACAACAGTTAACTACTCTGGATGTTGACAGTTCACTACTTCTTTGATGGTGCATTCTGTTAAGCATTGACTGTTTCCTGAAAGGTTGGACATCTGAGTCTACCCAGAGTTCCTTTATATGAACGACCTCACATTCTAGTATCAAAATCTCACAGCCTTGAACGCTCCATAGCGCACAGCTCTACTCAAAAAGGGGACTGTGGGAAACTCAATGCCAGCAGGTTTTGTTGTTGCTGGTGTTGATTTACTCTGCATTTTTCACTTCCGGTTTCCTGTGGAATAAATACGGATCCAGCCATTTTATAGACCACATTTCTGCATGTGTTCAAGTACCATTCTTAGAATGTACCCTTTTGTTCTGGACATAATGATGGAATGGGACATCATCTTGGAAAAGTGGAAGGTTAGTGAAAGAGAATACCCTCTAAGAGAGAGATTGACACAGTGACAGATCAAATTTGAGATCCACTTTTTATTTCCTATACAAGTAGGTGCTTGTTACTTTTTCTAAATTGTTGCTTTTGAGAAGTATTAACATATAGAGATGGTGCTGGGGTTACTAAAGAAATGTCCGAAAGTAACCATGCAGCAGTTACTCTCACAAAGAACCTCTATTTCCCATCAGTGTAAATTGAAGTGCTTGTACTTACACTGAGAAATGGATATGTTTTCTCGCCGTACAGTCTGTTGGCTGTCTTGAGGATGTAGGCATTGTTTGGTTTGTTGATCTCAGAAATAAGAGCCTGGAAATCAGAGCATATCGCTTCATCTCTGCCCGAGTTGAATTCCTTGGAAAGAAAAGAATTAGTCAAATAAAAATATTCAACAAGGGCTATAGCTAACAATATTTGTACTTAAGTGTAGGGAAACTTAACAATAAGCTATATTTAACAGTTGAATGAAATGATTGGGGACATTATAATCAAAAGCTTAAAAGCAAATTTAAGAAGATAAGAAACATTTTCTTTAATGTTATCAAGGCAACCTTCAAAGTCATTAAATCACTGTATCCTCCACAGTTAGTTTGCACCACAGACAGGGACATTTTTAAAAGTGGGAGCAATTTGGGAGGGGGCAAGGAGGAACATCGTAGGGGAGATAAAGACAAAGAAAATGATCATGTGAAAAAGGGTACAAGTTTTGTCTCCTGAAAAGTGCTTCTAAAATGTTAATGTAACTTTTATCTAAAAAGTTACCCACTAGAGGTCACCCAGTCACTAAAATATGCTAGCTGAAAGCACTTCCTCCTTATCCATCAGATGGCCTGTTACGTGGACCTCAGAAGGTGGCATATACCGTTTTCCTTTTCTTTTCACTCTCAGGGCAAGATTTTCGGTCCTGCTGTTGGTTCAGTTGAAGCACCTGTAGTAGTTTGAATGGAAAAGTCAGTATCTGAGTACACTTTGAAGAAAAGTCATCCACATAATGAAAAGGAAAAAAGTCAACTTGGAGAGGGGATAAAATGTGCAGCAATGAATGAATGAAAATCTAAATTTTCTGTCAACTTTTGTTAAAATGACAATTTAAAAAAATTTATTTAAAAAATATACATGAAGAAATGGAAGACAATATTTCTTGAAAAACTTTGAATGTCATATTTCTATAGTTTCCAAATGCCGAATTAATTACTAACAGTTGTTCTCGTTTGACTTAAATGGTGTGTTAACTACACTAACAAGTTAAGAGGTGATTTTAAACTACTTTAAGTGACCAGTCCCTTTATAATGAATGAGCCCAGGCTCCTCATTGGTTAGGCTAAGTGTCCAGCTGCAAATTGAAAGGTCCGAAGTTCAAATCCCCAGCTATTCTGAGGGGAAGATGTGACAGTCTGCTGTGATTATAGGTTCCTCACTGCTGTAAATATGATTCTGATTCATAAGGACCTTCACATGAACGTCCAAGGCTGTAAATCTTCAGACTACTTGTCATTCTCCTGGAAATTTCCTAGTCAGTGAAGCCTATAGTCTTTTCATTAGCAGCTCAACACTTAACTCTCCATGCCACCAGGGTTATAGCACAGTGTAAACTTTAAAACCCTGTAAGGCAGTTCTGCACTGTCTGACAGAGTCTCTGAGTGGGGTCAACTCACCAGGGTTCTAGCACAGGATAGCCTTGGAAACCTTTATAAGGCTGTGTGCGGGTTCTGCTCTGTCTCACGGCGTCTCTGTGAGTGGAATCAACTCAGTAACAGTGAGGAGGTGTAGTTCCAGTGTTTTCATTTTTCTTTTAGGACATTTAGGATGATGTTGAGAAAATTGTCTTAATTTTCATGTTTCACTTTTATCTGTGGCTACTTCAAAAAGGTGATGAGATCCTCAAAGAAGACTACAGTTAGATGGATTGGGGAGCCCTGGTGGCTTAGTAGTAAAGACTTGTGTTGTGAAGTCAGAGGCACATGGGTCAAATCCACTAACTTCTCTGTGTGATAAAGACGGGCAATCTTCTCTCGTGCAATTTACAGCCTCTGAAAATTGGCTGAAGGGTCAGTTATGAGTCGATTCTAACTTGATAGCACACAACAAAAACGACAACAATTCAGACTACCACTGCACCAATTATCTGAGGGGGGGAATAAAAATAATTTTAGTTGTTATTCTGGGTAAATACTTCATTTCTGTTCTTCTATCACCCTGTGTTGGAAGCAGGAGCAGCATCCACTTCCTAAACAACATGCCTCCAGAAACTCCATGAACTTTGAGAAATGTCGATAGTTGGTTGTAGAGGGGCTTCAGGCCTTTTGTTTGTAGGGTCGCTCTGAGTCATGCTCGACTCGAAGGCCATCAACAACAACAACAATTACCACCTGACAGCGGTTCACACACTCTTTGTCTCCAGCGCAGTAATAATTTGAAAGCTAGCAGAAAGGGTACAAACAATTCTTCTTTCTCTTGGCTTCAAGTCCTTTACAACCCCCGAAAACTCACTGGAGGGTCAACTATGAGTTGGTTCCAACTTCACAGCACCCAACAACAACAATAACCTTTGTCTTGAAAATGTTAATAATCAGAATAAGAATATGTTTAGTGTTGAACAAAAGTGGATCAACGTATCATTGCTCTATTTTATTTCACTAAAGCGTATGAACACTTCATCTATTTTCTTAGAAGTTTTCAATCGATTTTCTTTACCAGGCTTCTTCCCACCATCTCGAAGGTTTGGAGGTATTTACTGTAAACTAAGGGCTTTGGGATCTTGCAGAGATAACTGGAGTTAAAAGGCAAAGAAAGAATTCGGCTGGAAGGCAGCCCAGGAAAGCCGTGGGCCCTTCCTACTCACCTGTGCCATCTGGGTGGCAGTGGCACCTTTGGTGCCCGTGTACACCATGGTCAGGGCAGTCGATATACCCCAGGGGGAAAAGAAAATATTTTGACCCTCTGCAGATTCAGCTAGCTTTTTACTAAACTCCAGGGCAAACTGGTTGATGGAAGTTGTTAGAGAAGCCATTGGGAAACCTAAGGAAAAGAAAGCAAAAAATGTTAAGCGTCCTTTCCATTGATTTTCTTTGTGAAAGGATTTGTTAGCTTTCAGGAGTTTAAATATGCACCTGTGAAGTAGGCGAGATCTTCTTCATGGCAACTATTTTATATGTTGGAAATATCTCTAAATCGTGCGTCATAACGGAAACCAGTGGCTGGTGAGCTAACTCCAGCTCCTGATGGGTCTGTGTGGGTCAGAGGAGAGCTGCTTCCCACAAGGTTTTAATGGCTGGTTTTCAGGACACAGATGGCTAGGCCTCTCTTATGAGATAACTGGTAGCCTTGAACCACCAACCTATCAGATGGGAGCCTTTCTTACAGAGCTTCTCAAATTGGAATTCGGCAAGAAGACTCGATTTTCTCACTTTTATGACTTTCAATTTCTAAACGGTACCTCTAAATGTCCTGTTAGGGAATTCTAGAGGCCCAGTGGTAAGGAGTTGTGCTGCCAACCCAAAGGCAAAGAGTTCAAATCCATCAGGTGCTACTTGAGGAAAAGATGGGACAATCTCTTCCCAAGCTATTTATAGTCTCTCAAAACCCACTGGAGTTTGAGTTGGTTCCAACCTGAGGACAGAACAGTAGCAACAATTGTCCTGATACGTTAACTAAATGAAAACTTTAAAAGCTACTTCTCTATTAAAGACATAGCCAGTGTAATCTACTGCCAGTAGATAGCAAAATATTTTGTCAAGTAATTTACATGTTTACAAATCAATCCGTAGGCTCCTCCACTCCCCTGAGAGTTGGTGCTGTGCAGCTTTCCTTCACATTGGCATCTATCTCCCTCTGATAAACTAGCAGACAAGCTTTAGGAAGTGTGAAGTTCTCTGTGGCCAAATACCTGACTCAAGAGGGAAGGGCGTGGGGATCAATTCTGGTTTCATCACTAATCATTTCTAACACCCACCCTGCTAAAACCCTTCTTAACCATAGATTTCCCAGCCTCTAAATCACGTCCTAGGTGTGGCTTCCACCCACTGGAGAAGCTGACTATAATCCTAAACTAACATTATTTAGAAAGCCCAATCTAGCTTATAGTAAATCTTTTGTTGTTAGTTGCTGTCAAATCTATGGTGACTCATAACCCTAACCCTCTTAAAACTTTCAAACCTTTTCTGTGAGGATTTTTCTTAACATGGTTTAATTGTTTTAAGAAGGTTTAATACCATTTTAAGAATAGTTTTCATATTTTTTCTAGGACTAGCTTCATTCAAATGATACTTTTAATTGCATATATATTAAGCTTTGTCTCTAAAAAATTATTAATTACATTCACAAGGACAATGCTTGACTCTACAGTCAAGCTGTTCTCACCACGTAGAAAGGGTAAAGTATTATCTTGGGATTTTTCTAACCACCGTTTATAGTTACCTTAGAATTTAGATATTTGTTGCAAATTTTTTTAGAAAGAATTCTAATATAAATGCTAATTTCATTGTGAAAAGTTAATGACTAGTTCTTTAGAGCTTCATTAATTCCTCTAGTAATATCACAATTAAAACAAGCTTGGAAGCAGGAGTGGTATCCACTTCTGTAATAGCTTGCCTCCAGAAACCCTACGAACCTGGAGAAAGGACGAAAATCACACAAGTGTTGAGAACTTTCATTCATAGGGTCTCTATGAATTGCCTATGACTCGATGGCACTTAACAACAACACAACAACAACAATGTCACTCTTAGTGTGCAGTGTATACAAACCTAACCCAGGACGTGCAAGAAGAATTCCTGGCTTTTCAAAAAGATCTCTTTATGAGTGCTAGGGCAGCCATTAGTAATAATTTGCCCAGCGTCACAAGTGCTGAATTCAGGACCCATCACAGAAAGTAATGGGTCGAGACATAGCTGAACAACCATCTTTCAAGGTAAGAGTGCAGATGTCTAGCTCAGAAGTCTGCTGTGTCATTTCCAGATGGATTGCTTGGCTTTTGCCATTTTCACTAGTTACAAATTAATTAGTAAAAATATGTACCACCTCAGTCTGCACAAGAGCTTGGGGAAGAAGTCTACCAGAAGCATGAAAGCAATAAAAAAGAGTGGCCATCATTAAAATGTCCCATCACAGATGCATAGCAGACCTGGCCTATCTGGAACGAGTCTCTGCACTCCCTAATCCAACACCCTGGTTTTACCTGTGAGGAAGGTGGAGCTCAGGGAGATCAAATAAGCCAGCTGAAGGAAGAGGCACAAACAGTGCACAGAGGAGTCAGGAATGCAGCCCTCAGCCCTGAATACAGTGGTTTCACTCTTATTTTGTATCTTAAACTTCCAGTCTTTGAGACTTAATGGTCCAAGAGGAAAGGCACATGACAGAGGAGGAAAATGAAGAAGGGGAAGAGAATGGGCTGAAGAAGACAAAGAGAATAGGGACATTCTCCCTTTCCCTTTCCTAAGCAGAGCATGGCTCGCAGATGATACAGCCTACCTCACAGAGCTGGGCGCATCCAAAGACCAAGTCTTATGCATTTGCCAGCCTTGTATCCACCATAAGGCGGTTTCTGAGAGAAGCAGTAGTTTTAAATGTTTTATGGTGAATATTTTATATAGGAAAGAGCTTTAGGGGTTCTAGTTCCATGAAAGAGAAAAAGAAAAGCTAATGGCCTACAAAATGGTCATTAGGACAAGAGGGTGGACTGTTTTGGGGGGCTTGGGGTACACTCAAAGCCCTGGTTCTTTATACTAACGACTCACATCTGAACTCGTGTTGACTACATCACCGCTCTGAAGAGCCGACAGGAATTTGGCTCTGTCCTTAAGCTGTTTCTAGTTCTCTTCGCCTGTGTTGGCAGTTCCAGGGGGAACAAGTCCTGAGGCCCGACAGCAAGAAACTCCCTTCATGGTTTCATAATTCCTTAATTAGCAGTAATTAAGTTTCTAACCCGTAAGGAAATTAGTGCCTTCCTGCCCTTAGCTTTCCCTTTAGTGCAGACTTTGACTTAGTTCAGAGCTGAGTCTCTAAGGTGCTCAGAATTCCTGGGAGATAGACCCTTACAAAAATCAAACCACGAAAGCCAATGACTTTTCTGCCTTGTGGAGAGACTGAAGTATTTGTTATTTAACTAAGCATTTTAACAAAGAAGAAAAACAGAAATAAGATATTGTAAGCAAAAGGATATTGACAATACCTTGTTTTCTTCCCCTGGAAGAGAGTTGGCAAGTCGGTCCCTTGAGTAAGAAATTGTGGTTGGAGACTTAGGAAACGTTTAACTGTAGGGAGAAAAAAACCCAAAAAGCTCCTCCCTTCCTTGTCCCCACCCTTTGGTTCTGTCTGCAAGTCTGTACCTTCTCTTCTCCTCAGACTTAGTGTGGCTGGAAACTCGGTTAAGAAGACACACACGCGCGCGCACACACACACAGACACACATGCACACACACACACACGAAGAATATACGGACAGATAGGAAAGAATATACTATAGGAGGGGTGATGGGGGAAGACTGACAGAGGTTTTTTGTGGAATTATCAAGCACACACATCCTCCACATCTGCCCACATGCAAAGACCTGAACGCTGACACATTGTGATTCACAGCCTCCTTTCTTAATCCCTTCTAGGCTCACAGCAAGCACAGGCATACCTCAATGTATTGGGCTTCGCAGGTAATTTCATTTTGTATGAACTGAAGATTTACGGCAATCCTCACCGAGCAAGTGAATCAACGTCAGTTTTCCACCATCCTGGGCCCCTTTCGAGTCTGAACGTCCCCTTCTGCTAAGTCCCTCAATATCTCCAGCTGTTGCATGCTAGAAGGTAAGAGTTAACAAAACTTTTGTACACACTGAGAAATCAAGGTAGTTATGCACTCAGTTTACTGCATTTCCCCTTGATTGTGGTGGTCTGAAACCCAGTCTGTGACTTCTCCAAGGTGTGCCCACAGGGTGGCTGTGCAGTGGATTTTTCTTTGAAACACAATAGAAAGCTTCACCTTAGTGAGATGGCAGTGGCCAATCAATTGAGTATGTTGCTGGGGACGTAGAAGTTATCAACGCAAGAGCAATGGGAAGTTTCTGTGGTCCTCTCTGTTAGAATGGTGGCATAGACAACAGAGACCGCATTGCTTCACCTCACCCTGCCGTGGGCAGCAGTCTCTTCACCCACAGGGTCGAAGGCTTCTAGACACATCACTGACCAGGACACTGAGTCACGCACCCATTTAATTGCTCCCCATGCATCTGCCTTCGTCTTGCCTTAGTCTTTGCAAAGGAAAAGGGGAAAAAAATTCATAGCTTCATTTTCTCTTATGATATGATACCAATAAGGCCACCTTTGGTGGCACAAATGATTAATCCTTCAACTGCTATTAGAAAGGTTATTGGTTGAAGTCCAGCCAGAGGTGCCTCTGAAGAAAGGCCTGGAGATCAGGATCTGAAAAGTCGTAGTTGCTGGAAGGTTAGAAGTCCCCGGGGTCACTGTGAGACAGAAGCCCCTCAAAGGCAGCTGCTTTTTCGTTATTATTTTTGGGTTTAAGTGTTCTTTTAGATGGTGTGCATGAAGGAATAGTAAAGGCAATTGTAGGAAGAGACAGGAATATCCAGATGGAAATGCCTCTCTGACATTTTCTTCACGTGGCCTCCTCAGTTCTTCACTTCACACGACACTCATACATACCCTCTGCTCAGTGGCTGGGGTTTTAACTCGGAATGCTGCTGTGGAACCCAGAGAAGAGCTGCCCTGGGCTTCTCCAAGGAGGGGCTTGGCAGGAAATCAGTGGTGCCCGGGTGCCTGCTGCTGGACTGATAGGTTAGCTCTGTTCAGCCCCGCAACCAGTACCATCTAGAGACATGCTGTGGGCCCTCGTAGAGGAACTGCTGGTCATTGCGATTGGCAGCAGTCCACCAAGGGTGACCCAGAGGCATCTGGCCTGTGTGGAGAAAGGCATGCTATTTCTGTCACACTCATTGCATCCAAGTGGATGCCGCTGAATCAGCTGCGGATCTGTTTCACCTCTTAGAGTCCTGGAACAGGTGTTCTTGCTTTTTCTCCAAAGCCTTTTCTAGATCCTGGGTATCTTTGACTAAAATCCCGCCAATATAGACTGCCTACTGGTAAGTTGGAGATGTACCCTCTCCATACCTCTTCAATCTGTATGCTGAGCAAATTATCCAAGTTGGACTCTGAAGAAGATGACAGAACATTGCTTTCTGAAAAGAAGGAGGACTTGGAGCACTTGCTGCAAAAGGTCAAATAATACAGCCTTTGACATGGATTGCATCTCAATATCAAGAAAATAATTCCAACCACTGGACCAACAGGCAGCATTATAGCAGATGAAGAAAATATTGAAATTGTCAGCCACTTCATCTTATCTGGCTCCACAAACAACAGCACTGGTACTAGCAGTCAATATCTGCAGATGTAACTGACATCCAAGCAGGTATATGCACACCCATGTATACTGCAGCTTTATTCACAATAGCAAGGAGTTGGAAACAACCTAAGTGCCCATCAACAAATGAATGGATAGAGAAGCTGTGGTATATTCACACAATGGAATACTATGCTGCATTGAAAAACAAGGAACTCATGCAATATTATTTAAAATGGGTGACCCTGGGGGACATTATGCTGAGTGGTGTATCCTAGTCACAAAAGGACAAATACTGTATGGTGCCACTGTTGTAAAACAGGACAAACATTGGGGTTGGGGGGAGACTGAGAAAGATGGGTTCAATAATGTATACTGCATTGAAACAGATGAGAGAGAAACTGTTTAAAAGGGATATGTTATTAGGTATTTTTGTCATGACAGTTGTCTAGAGTGAAGGCTACATGGTGGAGTGGACCTGGGGGGAGGGTTTATAAAACAACGAAAGGATTTTCTTTTACTTTTCCAAGAGAGTAGTGTACTAGGGGGAACGGTTGGAAGGGGAGAAAAGTGCAACAATGAATGGATGGAAATCTAAAGTCTCTAAATTTTTACTGAAATTAATAATAAATTTTAAAAAAAGATCTGCAGATGTATTGCACTGGGAAAGTCTGCAGGCAGGTATTTCTCTACAGAAAAGCAATTAAGGAGCAATGATGTCAGTCTGAGGACTAAGATGCACCTGATTCAGGCAATGGCCTTTGCATTAACTGGACAATGATAAGAATGACAGAAGAATTGATGCCTCTGAGCTGTGGTGTTAGAGAATAGTACTGAATATCTCAGGAATGGCCAAAAGAACGAACAGATATACATCTTGGAGAAGGTGCAGCCAGAGTGCTCCTTGAAGGCACAGGTGATAAAGGGTCGTCTCGTACTCTTTGAGCTTGTCGCTAGGAAAGGCTGTTTCTTAGAGAAGAACATCATGCTTGGAAAGATGGTGAAAGCCAGAAAGCCCCTCAATGAGCTGGATTGATACAGTGGCTACAGCAATGGACTTGAATGTGCCCGAGGTTGCGAGGATGTCACAAGATAGGACAGGGTTTAGATCTGTTGTTCATCAGGTCACGATGACTCTAACTGGACTTGACAGCACCTAGCAACAACAAGAACAAAAAGGCACGTGGTTCAAATCCACCAGCTGCTCCAGGGGAGAAAGATGAGATTACAGCCTCTGAAAACCTGCTGGAGGGTCAGCTACGGGTTAGTTCTGACTCAGTAGTACATAACGAGAACAAACTAATACGTACAGTTATGGATATGTATTATTTTGCTGACTGTTGGAAGTGGAAACAGGGAGGAAAGGAATCATGAAATTTAGCCAGAGAATATAAATTCACATAATTTGTTATGTGTGGTCTCTGTATGTGTATGATGGAAGAAAAATAAAAAGGAGAGGAGGAGGGAAGGAAGGAGGGAGGGAGGAAAGTAAAGAGAGAGAGGTGGAAGGGAGGAAGGAAGGGCGAAGAGAGAGAAGCAGAGGCTCAGAAGAAGACAGAAAGACAGAGACAGAGAAGAGATCGGGTGGCATACTCAGTAAAGAGATGTACTTCTACCCCAAGGGCTGCTCATATCCAGAAGTTCAAATCCACACAAGGAAGATGGACCCTCCCTGCTATTTTGATTAACAGCCTTGTAAACCCATTGCAGCTTTGCTATGAGTTGGAACCTTATGGGCTTCTATATCATGTTTATCCTGGAATCCCTGAAGTTAAAACCGTCATTTTCCCTGAGGTTTAAATCTTTCTGCTCTGGTTATCTTCAATTACTAAGTGATTACTTCAACAAAGCACGCTCATTTCTCAGAACCTCAACCATTTTCAACACAAAGTCTTCTTGCAGGAGGAGTCATTATGCTTTTTGCTCCTTTATCCCATTTCTTTCACATTTCCATGATTGTACCACAATGCCTTACTTTGGGGAGTCAAGATACAAGTCTTATGATCTGCAGACCTAACAGAATGACCAAGCAAATGTTTGTAGGAAAAACATGTTTATTTATTATATAATTACAATCTTACACAAGTTACAGACAATTCCATATGCTACATACTTCTAGAAATGCAAATAATAGATATTTGTCAGCTATTCAATACTTTCCTCAGGGTGGTTCTTAACAGAGCAATATGGAAAAACATTCCTCTTCATTATAAAAAGAACAAGTTAATTTATTTCCTTGGTAGAAAATTATCTAATTACCTGATTGTGTAACCTTTGTTACATTAAGTAGATGGTGAATAATAAAAAGTATCGTCATTATATATGATATAAAAGAATAAATAACACACAGAAAGCTAATGCTACAAAAAAAATCTGGGAAGAGAAAGAACCCAGAGGGACCAACTTCACACCTTAGGAGACAAAGTGGCCAACAGGACTGTCACATTTGGACTGACAGAGTGAGCTATTCATGTATACATTTTTATGGGACCGTCCATAATTATTCAACTTTAATCTGCCAAAGTTGCTTCATGAGAAAACCATCAATATGGTGGAAAATCTCCAAACTTTTGGTCCTTGAGATGGTAATTTGCCGCTTAAAGCTTATGCTATAGACTTGAGTGTGGAAGTAACTTCCAACTCTAGGGGGAGGAGAATCTGCCCCAGAAGAGGATGATTTTGGTCACTCTGTGCATGATGAAGAAGAGGAAAGGGTGATCGGCCACAAACTGTGGACCTCCGTGGCCGGTTCTGCCAGTCATCACGGCCCCTGTGCCTGCGGATGCTTCTGTGCCCTCCTCGTTAACATCCACAGTCGCCTGGTGGAACACCTCGGACAGATAGAGGTCATTCCCCTCGGACATCCCTGAGAAATCGGCCTGGCCTTTGCTGAAGGCGTCACTCATGCCCATGCCCCTCAGAATGGACTTGAGTTCATAGCGCTCTTCCAGCCTGAACTGGGGTAGGAACACCTCGACGTCATCTTCGGCCAGTGTGTCTTTGCTGATCCATTTGTTGAGATTGTCATAGGTTATCGTATCTTCCAGCTGCAGGTACAAGAATTACCAATGAGTGTTTGCTTCGGTTTTAAAAATTTTATTTTACTAATATTTTTCTCATTCATATACATTGTGTTTCATGTCTGTTCATTGTGTTTACTTAGAAATTGGTAAAATAACTTTATGTAAGTCTAATATTAAAAATCAATGATGTTTCTAAAGTATGCTCTTGTTGCATATCATCCATACGGAACTGACCCATAAATGACCCTCCTACAGGCTTTCACAGACAATAAATCATATGGGAGGAGATTGCTCATTCTTTTCTCATTAAACAACTGGAGGATTCGAACCATATACCATTGCTTTGGGACTATAATTCCTTACCACTAAACCACCAGAGCTCCATAGTATAGTATGAATGAGATAAAGGCACAAAACTTTGCAAGAAAGTGACGTGTATATCAGATGTGTAAGTCTGAACCAAATGCTTTGAATGAAATTTTAGATGTGACCTATTTGCTCTCAACCAATTTGCGTTTTTCTGGGAGAAGTTTCATACCCTTTCCTTGGGTGTAGATAATGCTCATGTGCTAAGAGGTAGATTTAGTCCCAGAACTTTTAACCTATGGAAGGCAGGGTTCCTTACCAGCTCCAAGCCAGTGGACACATTAGCAATGCCGTCGGGAAGCATGAGGAACATGCTAACATCTCTAGCATATGGAAGTTCTAGAATCTGAGTCTTCAGTTCTTCGATATACCCAATGTTCACCTTTTCATGCAAGTACATCATCTGGACAGGTTTGCGCTCAGTCTGAAAGTAAATACAAAAGATAAACGTCAAGAGATTTACAATTGGGCATAAAAGACAGTGGATTCTTCTTTTTGTCAAAGAAATAGTCTTTATAAAATCAACAGAGCAAATCATTTATATACTTTTACTGTAGATGTTGTAATCTTATGGGAAGTTTCTAGTTTACACTCATTTAAAAGCTGGATAATAAAATATTTATTGAGTACACACTATGTGCTATGGGTTAGGTGTTTGTTGCTGTTACGTGCCATCAAGTCAATTCCACTCTTAGCCACCCTGTGTGATAGAGCAGAACCTCCTCATTCGGTCTTCCGTCGTGTGGTCCTGATGGAAGTAGAGCACCACAGCTTTCATCTGTGGAGTCGCTAGGTAGAAGTGAACCTTTGACCTCAATCGACACTTAACCATGACATCATAAAGACTCCTTTATGGACCAGGAACTCTGTTAATCCCTTTGAATCCTAATCATTGAATCCTTATAGCACCATTTTGAGTTGGATATCATTATTATCCCAGTCTTCCAGATCAAGGAACAGAAGATTAGTAAGGTCACTATTGGTAGGAGGCTAAGTGAACACTTAACATTTGATCATCACCAATGCTCACACTGCTTCTTCTAAATGAAAAGCCACGCAATAATGCCATGGAGTAAATTCTGACTCACACCAATCCTGAAGAACTGCCCCACCTGTTTTCCAAAGCTTTAATCTTCCCAAAAACACAGTGTCACTAAATAAGCTCCTGGGGAGCTTCTGGTGGGTTCGAACCATCCAGCTTTAGGGTGGCAGTTGAGCATTTAACCTTTGCACACAGAAGTCTTTTCTCATAACTTAACGTAGTCCACTGTGCATGGTCCACAGCTAGCAAGTTATCTAAGCAGCCAGCAGGGCTCTCGTTCTTGCTCCCTCCCCAACACATACGTTAGAAAAGTGTATCTTGCCACCTCTTACCGCATTCACCCGGAAAGGATAAAGTCCCTCTAGCTTCTTCTGAAATGGAGTTTTCCACTTCCCTTTGAAGTAGACAGCATTCACCAGGACCATCCTGGTTTCCTCATCCACAGAACCTTCTGGGAGCAGGGTTGGGATTTTGCCTGGAAGAAAGATGGCATATGTCTAGACTTTATGATCAAGGACAGTGACGGCACTGAACAAGATTTCTGGACTCTTTCAAGTCACTAATAAACTCAAGACTCTGCAGAGATGCCAGTTTTCAAACATGACGTTTCCTTTATATTCATTTGAAACGTAGGTCAAATTTGTCAGATTTGTAAAATCCAAGGATGGAGACATTGGCCATTACCTAGCGGTGTTTTGAGCAGGAAGTACTAGGAGTTCTGTGTGCAATTGTGACTGTCCTTTTATGGATTGTAGGGAAATAGCTTTTAAGAAACACTAAATTCCAAAATGAGACTTACTATGAAATTTTGAAAGGCACTTTCCCTCCCTGTAGTGTTATTTGCTCAAAGTTTTGCAGTTGTGTCTGAGTCATTTAATTCAGAATGGTATGAAAGGCTGTTTCTGAAGGAGGCCTGCTCCGTTCTAATGCCTCACAACTGCTCTACCAGGTGAGTTTTATGAGTGTCTGGATTTCCTAAGGTAAAGAACCGAGAACACCCCTTGGCTTTACCTTTGGTTTGAGTCTTGACCCAGGAGTTAATCTTGTTTCTGGCTTCTTCTGCACATTCTAGGAAGTCAACTGCCTGAGGTTCCGTGGAGTAATATTTCTTGGAGAGTTCCAGGTATTCCTTTAAAGCAAGAAAATGACAAGGTTACAAAGAATTGACACTGAATGTCATTTGGAAGGCTGATTTCCTGTGAAGACTAAACTGTCTAGAGAGGGGACTGACCCAGGATGGGAAAGGGATGAGGGGCTGAAAGGGGCCTTAGCCGAGATGGCAAAGGCACAGCTGACCCTCGTCTCCTTCCCACACACCTGACGAAGGGTGATATGCCCAGTAAGGCTACGGAATTTTGTCCTCACTTTGAAATGATTGAACAAGCCCCATTCACAACAAACTCTTTATCACAGTCACCTTCACTTGCTGCAGGCACAGCTTTGAAATCACTGAGAAGGATCAAAGTACCCACGTCCTCAAGTAAACTCCAACTCATCTGGCTTCCTGGCCTGGAAATCATCTCGCACTAAAATAAGGCTAAATGAGAGTCAAGCGCACCTGTTCTGACTCACCTTCAAATGCACTTTAAACGGTAAAGAAAGGCACGATTAGGCATGGAGCTCGTTCATATGCTGGGGACTGCCTATATTCTATCTGTTTTCACAATCCCTCCTCGACTCTGTCCCCACCCCTGCACCCTGGACAAGGCTGATGGATGACCAGCTGCCCTGAGGTCCACACTGTCTGCTCATAAGGAAGCTTCCAGGTCCTTCATCGTCCTTCCAATCTCCGGTGCTGTGAATCTACCATTGTGGCTATTCTGTTAATCAACCACACGTGAGCTTTCTCCGTGTTTGCTTGGCATTGCAGACTTAGAATAATAGGGAAATTTGCCCTTTGGATTGTGGCTTTTGAAATCAGTTGCAGTTGTCTTGATTACTATTCTGTGAGGGAGCCATCTGCGTCAGCAAAAGGTAACCACTGACTGACAGACACACAGAAGGAGGAGAAAGACAGCGGCCAGTGGGTTTTGTGTGCAGCCAGCCCCAGGCTCCTGTGTGGAATTCTGATGTTCTTTGTGCAAGTTACAGAAGACAGCTTCGCAGACAGGTGAAGGTTTGGTGCAGTGGCCGGCAGGAAAGGTAAGTAAACCCAGAAGCTGCAAGAACTACAGCCCTGAAAACCCTTCAGGGGTAGTTTCCCTGTGAGTTCACGGTTTCTGTGAGTGAAAATGGAGTTCTGCTTTATCCTCTACAGTCCTTATGAGGCCGAATGCGTTCAGTCACATACAACAAGTTCAATTTCTGGTTTCACTTACTTCCTTAAATCTGTCAGACTTCTCTCCAAACAGCTGATTGGTGCTTTCCAGTACATAGCCTCCAGTGGGTGAGTTGATTTCGGAGGTGAGAGATTGGAAGAGTGAGTGGACTGCTTCTCCAGCTTGTGCCTTAAACAGATAGAAATAATTCCCTTTACATATCACATGACTACTGAGCACTTATTTCTTTTTTTTTATTTTTATTATTTTGTGTGTATGTACCGTCAAATCAGATCTGACTGGTACAGGAGGAGGACATTGCTCCTCCTTCTCCAGCAGAGCATCTGGTGGATTCGAACCACCCACCTCTGGGATTGCAGTGCAGCTTTTTGCCACTATGAGCACTTATTTCTAAAGTAATGGTTTGGTTTAGTTTTGGGTTTGGTTTTGTTTTCTCTCAATACAGTAATACTAAGTCATTAATATACACATCTTTTCTGGTCAAACTAAAAATTCTCAAACTCATTGCCATCGAGTCAGAAATGACTCACAGATGGCCCTCCTAGACTAGATATTCTGAGACGATAAATCACGCGAGAAGAGACTGTCCGTTTTTCTCACCCAAAGCAGCTGGTGGATTCAAACTTCCAAAAAGGCACCACCTTTGGTGAGTAGCTGTGAGACCCAAGAAAAATTAATTTTAATCACTTTAACCCTTAGTCTTCCATCTGTCAATGAGAGAAGTTACACGAGGGTCTTTCCCAACTGAACTGTGATTTTAAGACAAGAGTCTAGAAATAAAATATAAGAGAAAGGTAGACATAGAAGTCAGATACCTGCAAAATAGCATCAGGATAGGTCGGCTTCTGAATCTGTTGCATGATGTCACAACCTGTGAAGTTCTTCGGGGACACCAGGGTGGGTTCATAGCTTCCAAATTTGTTAAACTGGAGCACCTAAAGTTGGAATTCAAAAGAATGCTTATACTACTTCCCGCTAACTTACTTTAAAAACCAGTGACTATGAGGTGCCTTTTCATGATTTTTGTTTAGTTCTCTGACACAAACACAGCCATTCTGTTTAAAGACCAATTATCAACTACTGCCAACATGACAATAAAACCAACAATTGTGGAATATTCTGATTGGTGTTCTTCGTGTGTGATATGCCTCATCCGAGCTAAATTCCCCTACAAAGAACAGCACGAGGCTATTTTCTACTACTCTATCGCTGGCCATTGACAGAGCCATGGAGGATTCCAATAGCCAGAAAGGTGTGGCCATTTGGTTAGCAGTGCAGCTCCCTGTAGACGATGTTACCAGAGCTCAAACGTGTAAGAGTGTGATGAGAAGGATGAAATACTTGGGAAAATCAATAAAATGAGACACAATCAGGAAGTGAACTTGAGCTGTTGGAAACACACCATCGAGAGACTAGCCCAACTGAGAGTGGCCAAAGGTCTTCAACTTGTGAAAATCACAGTGCTTGTGAAACTCAATGGAATGAGTACAGCTATACCACCTCCAGCTGTTCCACCAATTCCCAGCTGTGGGGCTGCTTCCATTCCAGTCTCTTCATGTGTAAACTGAGGTTAATAATAGCACTTAGCACAAAGGATTTGTGAGGATTGTGTGAGTAGATGCATAAATAGTTCTGATAACAAGCTTGGCTAAAGGACTGAGATAAGCCACTCTTATTACCATTACTCATAATACGCCTCATGTATTATCTCTACTCTTTCAGGCCATCCTTGTTTTCATTCCCATTTTATAGATGGAGAAACTGAGACTCAGAGCATTTTCTACTCCACCTCACACCTTACAGTAAGAAAAACCATGACTCAAACATTAAAAAGGCTACCCCCTCTCGTAGCTAAAGACTTTTCTGTCTTTTTAGTTGAGATGCAATCACATTAAACCTTTGACCTTTAAAGTCTGCACATTTGGCTGATTTATAAGACTACATAAAATCCTTGCTTAATCCCACACTCTCTAAGTACTTTCTGGGTGCAGAAAAAATGTATAATGCTCAGAATGACCAACAAATTTTTATCTGGTATGAAAATTGTGTTTGTTGACCACCTAGAACACATCATTCAGCATAGACAGACCTTCAGAAATGATACTGCTTCATTGCATTTAAAAAATCAGCACCCTGATATTTTATGACATTTTCAGTAAATTCACTCGGGTTTTTTTGGTGGGGTTTTTTTTTTTTCTTTTCAGGCAAAGAATATAAAAAGAAAGGAGTATTGTAAAGTGTTGGGCAACTGAGTTTCACTGTAAGGTTCTCTGTTTAAATTGCCACCAGTATAGCTACAGGGTGATGCACTGTCCCAGCTCCTCCTACAGCAAGATTGGCCAGTGTTCTGAGACACGCCTTTGGCTCAAACAAGACCCATCCTAAATGGGTCACTATGTACCTGGAGAGGTGCATCTGCACTTGGGTGCAGTCTTCTGGGAAAATGGAAAGCAGCCAGAGGCAGATTGGTGTGTCTAAATGCACAAGGGTTTATGAGACATCGGGATCTGTGCTTAGAGAAGTCAAACCTCATACTTCTTTGTGTGTATGTGAACATGAAAGAATTCTGTCAGAGGTCACGTTTGAGTCTCTGGTCTAGGACATAACATGAAGTTCAAATGGAGCAAACTACCATGAAGGCCCAGGACGTGGTGAGAAAAGTGCCAGGTTGAACTGTATCATTCCCCAAGGGTGGGAAACTAAGTACAGAAATCTCTTACAACTGTCCATATGCTGTCCACATTGACCTTGATATTGGTCATGCTATGAAGCCAGGCCACATGTCCTTGACATGACCTCATGGGCTAGACAATATGATTGGAGGTCTTTACTATCCATGCACCTTTGAATAACCATAGCTTTCTCCTAAGAGGAATTCTTCATGGAAGTGGCTTCGAGGAACAGAAGCATTATAGTAGATAGACCCCTGAACCAAAAGTTGGAGAACCTTGGGCAGCTTGGGGGAAAGGTCCTTCATTCCTACCACTGTTCTCGTCTGTAGAATGAGAAACCAAAACCAACACCATTCCTATGGAGTCAACTCTGTCTCCTGGTAGAACTGTCCTCCACAGGGTTGTAAATGATTATGATCTTCCAGAGCAAACTACCAGGACTTCTGTCCAAGGTCCATAGTCCAAACCCCCTCCAAAGTGTTTCTGGGTGGATTCAAACCACTAAACCTTCAGCTAATGGCTGAGTTCTTAACCATTTGTGATTCCCAGAGCTCCTGGTCTTAAGTGATAGCAAACCCTATGAAAACTCTATGAGCAGTTGAGGAACAACGATAAGTGATAGCAGTATCTTTAATGCAAACATCTTAGTTATAGTTAGGTGCTGTTGAGTGGACTACAAGTCATGATCCCCCTATAAACTACAGACCTGAACCTTGTCCCATCCTGCACGCATGTGTCTTAAATGATACATAAAATGAAATCATATATGCAAAGCCCTTGAAAATTATAATAACTGTATTATTAAAAGTGCAAAATGTTTTTACTTGAGTTTCTAGCCTCAGAAGCCAATACTATCCCATATGACTCTCTATAACTTCAGTTGAGAATTCTGTGGTTTTAGCTGTTATTAAGCCTGAATCTACAGAGTTTGCATTAATTATACCAGTGAGTGCTTTATCAGCATGTGATGACCACTGGCTTTGTTCTAGTCAAGATGTCCTCAGCATAAAATAAAAGCCACCCTGTCCAATTCAGAGCTCACTGGGTAACTCAGGACATAGACTAAGACTTACCTGTGCCATCTGGTCTGCAGTCTTGCCCCTGGCACCCAGGTAGGCCATGGCCATGGTGGAGGAGATGCTCCACGGAGAGAAGAAGACATTGTGGGTAGGGTTTACTTTCACCAGATGTTTGAAGAAATTGAGGGCAAAGATGGTGTTTGCCACATAAAGGTCCTCCATCGTTCCAATCTAGAAAGAAAGTGAAGTAGACCAGGTCTGAAGGATGACTCATCAGCTAGGGTGAGGTCAAGCAGGGAGGACAGCGTGTACTCGGCCTAGGCCTAGAGAGAGATCCTTCTGTCTTGCACCCACAGGACAACGCGAGGGCCCTCAGGAGCTGGCTTCACACAAAGTTCTTCATGCTCTGCTGTCACCGGCTGTCCTGATGTTCTTTATAATTTTAAATGAGAGGACCTGCACTTACGCAACTGATTTCTGAAGTGTAGTGAAAAGATAAAGGGTGGGTCGAGACCCTCTGTGACACTCATGGTAACAGTGATGACAACAATAACAATAAATGGCATTAATTGAGTTCTTGGCACAGAATAGACCAGATCCATACGTTTTTATCTTCATGAATCATTTAATCTTTGCAGAAACCTGATGGGGAAGGTGCTGTATTTCCTGTTGTACAAGGGTAGAAACTGCTACACTGATAAGGAGATTGGCCAATGCCAATGTCACTTTAAATGGCCTCTACAAGTGCAGAACCAGGAGCTCAAGTGAAGTAGGTGGGCCTCAGAGTCAAGCTCTCGAACTCTAAGCTGTGCCTATGACACACCAAGCATGCTTACAGACAGACAACTACACATACATCCGTGCGTCCATATTCTCTGGCCACAGCCTAATTCTAGAAGTGAGTTTAATCTTCTATTTGAGGATAGCTACACTCACCCACCTTGTCAAGGGTCTCCCCCTTTTACACTGGCCCTCCACCTTTCTATGCATGATGTCCTGCTCCACGCACTCTATAAGGTTGATTGGCACAGAGACTGGAGCAAAATGCTCAAGTGTGTCTGAGATGGTGAGGTTGGCAGAGGACAGGGCACGTTTCACATCCGCTGTTCATAGGGTTGCTATATGTCATACTCAGCAGCACTTAACAACACTCACCCGGACAGACACACAGGAAGACTTTCTATTCTGGGGAACTTCATACTCTGTTGTTCTTTGTTGGGAAAGTCGGGACACTCCTGCTTCTCACAAGTGACCCATCCCAAGAGGACATCAAAACCTGACAGCATGGCATGGACAACCTAAGTGTACGAAGCACACACCTCCAATTTATCACTCATTTGAACACACAGATGTGTACTTGCATGGCATCAGATCCTGAAAGCAGCCTGATGCTTGGGTCCACCCACAGGGTTTGGGTATCTGTTGGTGCTGGCCACTGCTCATGTTTCCAGCAATATGTTTTTCACAGTAGCTCAAAACACGCCCTATAATTACCAAAATGCATCTAGACAGGGAACAGACCTGTCAGTCACTACCTCATGGGAAACCTTCTTGGGACAGTGGCTTCCCAGAGCTGGGAGGGGCTGGGAATGTTGACATTATCTACTGTTGTGGTCCACTCCCTTACCCACAACCACAGGGCCATCTCACGTGAACAGCAACATGTTTTTCAGAAAACAACCACCCAATTGTAGTTTGTCAAGGAAAAAGAAGGTCAGTTGAGTAACACTTGTCTCTGAAATGCTCACCACTTCCTATCTTCCTTAATCTTCCTAGAATTAATCTGAAATTGGTATCAGGATTTCCATTTTATGGATTATATCCTGAAGTTTGGAAAAATTTACTAACACACATAAAATCACCTCACTCCCTCATAATGATGCCCATTTCTGCCTGGAGTGAAGCATCGCCATCCAGTGCCCAACACCAACTACTGATGTCGTCATGTGTCAGGAGGGTATAAAGAGAAGAGAACAGCACAGCTGAGATGCTTCTCAAAGATTTCTTAACTTCCACTCTTCCTCCCCCGCCGTGGGCTTCAGTCACAGAAGCTAAATTCACTTGGATGCTTGAAGTATTTGTTTCTTCCTCTTTTTACCAATTCATATTAGTCCTTACATTTAATTAGCCTGATAGCATGTCTCTTTACTCCATAAATTATCTCAACATTCTTTTTTGGAAGCCTAGTGCTGATAACATAAATAAGAGTTCTCTACTATTATTACTCCATGTTCCTTAGGTAATTAAGCAAGATATCAGAGCCGGGAAAGTAAAGTAGGCTTTTCTGTATCCAGTTCTCTCAAACAACCTGAACCTTAGTCATTCACTTGGACACAAACAGAATTTAAGTGTCAAGGCAAACTTTCAGAAGTCTTGTAAAGCCAAGTTCAGATTTAAGATGACTTCATATAGGATAACAAGAGTTCATCAGACCAGAACTAGATAACGTCAGATGCATCTAGCTCTTTTAAAAAGTAGCTTAAATTTTATATCTAAAAACAATTTTTAGTAATATTATAAAATAACTTAAAAATAATTTGCATTAAATATTTTAAAATATTATCTTATGCTTCTTTTTTCCTTTTGATATGAGTAAAGTTTACAAAGCAAAATGATTTTTTATTTAACCACACATACGCCTCATATCCTATAACATTAATTTCAATACCAACAATGTAATTGTACTTTCCCACTTCCTCTGTGTAGTTCTGACTTCCACAGACCCTCCTATGCCTCTCTCTGCATTTCTTTAGTGATACTCTGTGGGATATTCCCTTACTGGATATTATCTTTCCCTTCACCTGTGTCTGGTGATTTACACAGTGTTACCAAATTCTTCCAGCTACATTTTTTTTTGCTTATTTTGCATAATAATCTGCCCCTTAAAGCTCAGTTGTTCCTGTGACCTGATCTACCAGTGAAAATATGAAGATGTAAGTTTTCAGAGTCTAGTTTGCATTCCAGTCTTATGACCACACATCTAGTGCTCACCCTACAAATCTTTTCAGAAGGCTTGAGCATAGTCTCAGAACTCTTTGCAGCCCTAAGTGTATGGTATATACTGATTCATAGACCGGATGCTTCCATTGTTGGGATTCTAGAACACATGAGAGTCATGGAGATGTCAAGTAGCATCATCTCTTTAATCAGGTAACCTTCTAGGTGTTTCTTAGCACAGGGGTAAGTTATACAACTTCTTTGACTTCCAAATACTATGCTCCTAAGAATGTTTCATGTTGTCATTGGGAAGAATGGATGAACCTGTATCTGGGAGGTGAACATCTTGATGTTTGTACGAGTTTCTGTAACACAGGTTGATGCATGTGCCACTGAAACTTGGCCGGGTGATAAGCACTCCGGGTGGGGACAGGAATATGCAACACCCCCCTTTTCTGTGGCTTCAGATGTAAGATTTTTAGGTGCATGACAATGTAGTAAAAATACTTTGAAATTGACACAGACAATGAAAAAGCAAGAAAACAATTATTTCAAGACATTTTCTTATTAAGAATTATCAGCTTTTATCTCTCAAATCTAAACATAGTTTATTAGATAATGTTCATAATTAGCAATTGTCTGTGTATTTTATTAGATTTTTGCAATTCAACTGTCACTTCAAACAACCCAACAGCTAATTTTTTCTCTTTTGCTAAATTCATTTAACTCAACTCAGTGAACCTATTTCAGAATTGATTTTATCTAATCTCCTAAATTTCTTGGTTTTGATCCCTCATTTTAGATGAAAACTGAGTCACCTTTTCTTTAGTCCCCTATGTATAATTTATATCTTACTTTAAATTGCTTAAATGAACATATTTTATATATATACCTAGAAACTTCTACCAAGCACAGTTTCAAAAAGTAGCTAATACGGAACACACAGATTCTACTCTCTTCAGTAAAGTTGAAAACACTTTTTGGATGTGAATTTTGGATAAGTAATATTATATACATTAATTAATATCAATAATTAATGTAATACATAAGCATCTATTGGTTATTGTAATTCAAACTTAAACATTACTATATAAATTTAATGAAAATTTTGAGCTTAAATATTTTTAAACAAGCAAGTAAGAAAACAGCACTAGACTTTGCTCACCCCCCTACAACATACCATATTTCAATTTTCAATGAATTAATAATACAAATATGAGAAAAGCAGAAACAACTGAAATCATCTCCCCCATAGAAATGGCCATGGGAATGGCTGCATTACCTTGCTCTTCTCGGAGGTACTTTCTGACAGGATGCACGTCTCTGAAAGCTGTCACACATCAGGCATGGTCCTGTCTGGTTTTATAATGCTCTGCCCCTCCCACAGAGCTTTCTACTCTCTCTAATCTGTATCCTTTGAGTGATTCAACGTTTTACTCAGGCAGCACTCAAAATAGAACTGTGCTTGTAAAGGCACAGTTTAAGAAATGTGTTGGGAGAGTGATGTCACTCAGAAACTTTTAAAAATTTGGCAATACATATATATGTGTGCCAAAATTCTCCAGAACAGGTCAGTCCCAGTTATAAGCTTTTTGCTTCTACCCTAGATGCTATTTAATAGTAAGAAAGTCAAAGACACACTTTCTTCCTTGTTACTCACTAGCCGTTTGAGCCATTTGACTACATGGGGACCTGGTACCGGAAGGTGATCCAGCCACATTGCAGGGATGGACGACAGCCAAGAGATTTGCAGCCACCAAACCAGAGTCCTAGCACTAGAGAATACCTGAGCCAATGCCAGCAACCACCTACATCTAAATTTTGGTCTTGTCATTATTGTTCCATGAGGCAATAAATAATGTCTGTATTGTTTATGTTATTGGTAGAAGTTTTGAGTCCCTTACTATTTGCAGCCAAAGCATTTCTAAATGACACAGGCTTGTGCAAACAATAGAAGGGAATAATGCTTGTCAAGTGCTTAACCTATTAACCCATCATGCAAAGAATGTTCTACAGTGCCAGGCAGTCTTACAAAGTGACTGTGGGGTGCCAGGTCTGAGGTTTGCCTTCTTTCCTAGATTAGACCAGTTCTATGAACTCAGTATAAGAAAAACAGTACGTGATTGAGAAGGAAGCTGAGTGGTGTCAATTCTAAGTGTCATAAGAGGAGAAGAAAGGGCTGATGATAGTGTGTTGGAATCTCATGGGAAGGACTGGGATAAATGAAGACAACTCAGGATGGCAAAGAGAGCCATCGAAAGTTCTGGAGCGGGAAGCAGATTCCG